GGGCGGCAGCGGGGGCCGTTCTGGGCACGATTCTGGGCAGGAGCCATCCCCGGCCTCAGAGGAGGTCAGCAGAAGATAGATGCAGGCAGTGGCCACAGGGGTGGGTGAGTCCCTGAGAGGCCAGGGCTGGCAGTCACTGTCCCAGCCAGACCACTCCGTGTTTGGGGGAGGCGCTCGAGGCACCTGCGGTGATGCTGACCGGAAGAAGGAATACGCACTGAGCACTTACCCCTAACCAGGCTTTCCATCTTCTAACACATTTCATCCTAGCAACAGCCCGAGGAGCACGACATTGTTATTCCCACTTCACAGACAGTAACACGGAGGCAAAGAGAGGCTAATGGGGTGCGTGCTGGGGTGTGGGGAATAAAGACTGGAGCTTTGCTGCCAGCTCTTTGACCCTCACAGGGCTTAGAGTGAGGATGCAGCGTGATGTAGTGGGACGTGCGTGTCTGGACACCCAAGCTGGCCAGGCCAGGTCCCAGTCCTGCGGCCGCTACCCCGACTTCAGGCCCTACTCGCTGTCCTGGCAGAGACCAGTGGGTATTACCTGCCTTGGTCTGGATGCAGTGAGGGTCTGACTAGGGAATCCTTTACTGGGGAAGGGGTATGGCCTGAGACCATGGGCTGGAGAGAAACGCCCTCCTTATAAAGGAGCAAGACTTGGGCCACAGTGCCCTGGAGCCAAGTGCAGAGGCCAGAGCAGAGGTGACTCAGTTGAACAGTTGTGTCTGGGGGAAGGCTTCTCTTTGGTGCTCTCCAATGTGGGTATTATTCATGTGTGAAAGAACCTTTCAGCTTTGAGAACTGTCACCTTGAATCATTAGAATATCTCTGAAAGGCTTTGATATGCCTTTTTATGCAATTTGCATGAAATGAGGTTTTAAAATATAATGTGTTTTACAATGCTCTTTGCAGATGAGTTAATGTGTTTTTTCGTGGTGCCTTCACTAAAAGTTCCCATTGGCGGCAGTTTCCAGTGGTCTTAAGGTTGGCACTGCCCTCGGTTTAAAATATCTCCGGCAAAATGCTTTGCATGCTGAGGTTGAATAATGAGTAACCCTGCTTGTTAGGTGAGCTGTGTGTAGTGTGTCTTCTTCCTGCCAGATCGACAAGGGACAGATACAGTTTTTTAAATAAAAGGGAGTCAACTCGATGGAAGGTATACAGGGATTGTAATAATGACACGACTCTAAAGAAAAACTGATATCCATTCTTTTTAAAGTAGAAACAAGTAGAGTGAAAAACAGGGTTGTTTTCTTGCTGCTGGATTTGCTGGTGCAATTAAGGAATAGACATCTCTCATACTCTGACTGGGGAGACATCCAGCATCAAAAAGGGAGCACTGCAGAGAAAAGGCCAGCCCTTCTGGTCCAGGGGTGCCACATAATTATGCCTTTTGCAGCCTGGGGAGGAAGTTGGGCCCCGAGGAAGGTAGTTAAGTCGTTACCGGGAAGCCAGTCAGGCACACCACGCACCTCGTGTTTCTTCCTAATTACAGATTTTCGGGTCCCTTAGATGGTGTCTTGTTTGGGGAAGGAGAGGAGGGCCTCTGGCCTGCTCGTGGCATGTGGTCTCCTGAGCTGCAGGCGATTGGCCAGACTTACTTCCCGATCACCTGGTGGGGCCCATTGTCCTGATCCAGCAGTGGTTCTCCTATCTCTTCTCTGCTCCCAGGGTCGGGGCTGTCTGTATACCCAGTGATGCCCCGAGACCACAGGTGCAGGTCCTCAGGGGACCTGAGCCAGGGGTTAGCCGTCTGCTCATGGGCCTACAGGTCATGTGCACCGTTGCTTATTTAGAAGCTGGAGACTGTTGTGCAAAGATGGTCTTTGGTCAGTTCTGCTTGTGAGTTGTTATCACGTTCAGTCAGGGAAGCTGCTTTTCTCCAAAAGTCTGGCACCAAGAAAGGCCCTGCCCACTGTCCTGGAGTAGAGTTCGGTGCCTCTTGTGTCTTGGCTCAGCCGATTGCCTTGGTGTGAACTGTTGTAGTAGTCATAGACTGATGGACACTGTCATCATTTCTTCATCTGTTGATGCTCATTAAGTCAAAATGAGTTTGCTTTATTAGACAGTATTTGTTTTTCTCTTTCTTACTTCACTCCTTCACTCCATATGAGAGTCTCTAGGTCCATCTGTGTCTCTTTAGAGGACCCAATTTTGTTCTTTTCTATGGTTGAATAATATTCCATTGTGTAATATATGTACCATGTCTTTTTTATCCATTCATCTGTTAATGGACATTTAGGTTGCTTCCATGTCCTGGCTATTATAAATAGTGCTGCAATGAACATTGGGGTGTATGTGTCTTTTTGATGCTAAGGTGTATAGCTAAGAAAATCTCTGAGTAAGGTGGGAAAGTAGTTGTTGTTTTGTCACTAAGTTTGTCTGACTCTTTGCAATCCCGCGGATGGTAGCCCACCAGGCTCCTCTGTCCATAGGATTTCCCAGGCAAGAATACTGGAGTGGGTTGCCATTTCCTTCTGCAGGGGATCTTCCCGACCCAGGGATTGAACCTGAGTCTCCTGAATTGACAAGCGGGTTCTTTACCAGTGAGCCGCCAGGGAAGCCCTGAAGTGGGACTTTGGGAAAAATAAAGATGGGGCTGGCGCAGAAGAGAGAGAGGGGCAGGCCTCCTCGTTGAGGATGCCGCGTTCCCCAGAGGAGGTCCAGAGACTTAGCAATTTTTACAAGAACGGTGCAGAAACAGAGCACTTGTCTCTCTAGTAGAGAGGACCAACGTCTTCACAGTAGTGTAAACTTGCATTACCTTCCCGCATTACAAAAATAGTAACAGTTTAAAATCACTGAAGACCCTCACCATCCAAAGATTACCATCAGTGCTGCCGTTTTGGTGTCTCTCTCTCCAGCTTTTCATGATTTACGCAGATTGGTATCAAAAAATAGTGTTTTTGTGACTATGTACGATTGAGGTGCGCTCATGCATGTTACCAAGCCCCATGCCCTACTGCTGGACATTTGCCTGGTTTCCTGTTTCTTCTTAAGTAATGCAGACACGAGGGGTCAGGCAGGCCGGGGTCTCTTAACTGAGGGTTTTGCTCTCCACGGGCTTGTTGACGCACTGCTGTAGACTTTGTAGGGTCTCGCAGAGCAGGCATGCTTGAGGTAAGGATTCAGATGAAAACCACCCTCAGTTATTCCTGGAGAAGGAGGCGGGGGAGGAGGGCATCCTATTGGCTGTGGCTGTAATTACAGTGAGCTGTGATCCGTGCCAGACTGCACACCGAGGCTTAGCTCCCTGGATAACCTCGCCAGCCAGCACTTCCCCTGGCAGACCTGGTGGCATGGATCTTTCAAAGCAGTTATTAATACTTTCGTTTCCTAACACATTATCTTTCTCAGGTGAACGGAAGAAAACGAAAGGAGAAAGGAAATTCCTGTAGCTTGATCGGCTTACATTAAAAAAGTTAAGCCAACAGCTTTCCTGGGTGTAGCTAACCCAGCAGATGACAAAAGGGTGAAAGCCATCCACGCCAGTGATTGTAGTTTCATAGTTTCACTGTGCCAGCCCGAATTTCTTGGTCTGGCTCCTTGCTGGAAGAGGACAGTTTGAGACCATGGTAGACTGTATGCTCAAGAATGGAATAAAAATGAATTCCTGGGAGTGTAGTCACCTGTCAGCTCTCAGGGCTGTGCCTGCAGCCTTTCCTGGCTGCAGTGGGACCCAGTGCGCCCTCATGGTTAGAGGAGAGGAGAAGTCAGAGAAAGCACGCCCAGATCACTTTCCCCAGGGCCGGGCCTCCCGTGTTTTTGTGGTGTCTGGAGCCCTACTTGTCAAAGGCTGAATCGAGTCCATATCCTCTGCCTGCCAATGTGCGCAGTTACGAGTTCGTGATTAAGGCATCCACTTCCCCTCTGCATTTCAAGCCAGCCTTCAGCCTCGTAAAATCATGTCAGTAACATCCAGAAAACTTATGTACGCTCTCTTGCTGTTTTGTTTGCTTGCTTTGGCTTATTTTTTTGATTGCACCGGGTCTTCATTGCAGCATGCAGGATCTAAACTCTCTGACCGGGGATCAGACCAGGGCCCCCGGCACGGGGAGTGCAGAGTCTCAGCCACTCAACTACCAGGGAAATCTCTTTGTTGTTTTTGTGTGTTTGTCTAGGATACATCAGGAATTGCCCTCTGCCCTGAGTTTTGGCAGGGCTGCCGCTGGGGTGAAGGGTGCAGAACCCCTTCTTGGTTCTCGGCTTTGGGCTAGCTTGTGGCCCCCATAAGCTATATTCTTACTCTGGGACAGAGTATTCTAACTTGGACGTGACTTTTAAAAAAACTTTAATTGAAATATAATTTGATTCACAGTGTTGGCGGTAGTTTTGGGTATACAGCAAAATGATTCAGTTATATGTGCTCAGTCGCTTCAGTTATGGGCAACTCTTTGCGACCCCATGGACTGTAGCCTGCCAGGCTCCTCTGTCCATGGGATTCTTCAGGCAAGAACACTGGAGTGGGTTGCCATTCCCTCCTGCAGGGGATCCTCCCCCCTGCAGGGATCAAACCCATGTCTGTATGTCTCCTGTACTAGCCGGTGGGTTCTTTACCACTAGCTGTCTGTTTACTCTTTTTAAGATTCTTTTCCTTTATAGGTTATGACAAGATATTGAATATAGTTGTACAGTAGGTCCTTGTCTGTTAACTATTTTATGTATAGTAGTGTGTGTCTGTTAATCCCAAACTGTTAATTTATCCCCCCCACCCCCTCCGTTCCCCTTTGGTAACCATAAGCTTGGTTTCTATGTGAGTCTGTGTCTATTTTCTAAATAAGTCCATTTGTATCATTTTATATGTGATATCATATGAGATTTCTCAGACATGATTCTTTTCACCCGAGAGCACTGAGCACTCCCAAGGCAAACTAAACCGACCCTCCATTCAGAGATAACAGAGATGAGAACGTACAAAAAACGCTGTCCGGGGGACTCTGAAAGATTTTAGAAATGGTGGCGCCATCTGATGACTTCTTTCGCTTCCTCTTTAGATGCAGCAGCAGGAGCAGAGCCCGCCGAAGGCCAGCCTTCCCGTCCTTGTCTTGGGGCTGGGCCGTCTCCTCTTCTACTGGTGGCTGGCAGAGCTGATGGTTCATCTCATGTACATGCACGCCATCTACAGCACTGCCTCCCTCCTGAGGGCCGTCTCGAGCTGGGCCTTAGGTAACTGTAGCGATCGCCGGCGGTAGAACAGGCGTCAGGAGCGAGCCTCGTGGGGAAGCTGGTCAGAGCGCAGACAGGGGTGTGGTTGCCTTCAGCAAACCCTGTATTTTTTAACCGTGCCCCTCTTGTGGCCAAGATGACGCATACGTGAAGTGGCCGACAGAGGTGAGGGCCAGGCTTGTGGGCTGGGAGCCAAGGGTGGTAGCAGCCCCTCTTCCTGATGGAATTCCTGTTCAGCTCAGCTGGGTCTGCATCTTCCTGGTGTGGCCAGCACTGCACTTGGCAGGAGTCCCTGCTAAGAGCTGGTGCGGTAAGACCGAGTTCTGCAGTCATCTTGTTTTCTGTACGACGTAAAGCAAAGAGTATAAAGCTTTAGAATCAGACAAATACAGGCTTTATTTTCAGATCGAAGTGCAGTTGATTTACAATGTTGTTTTAGTCTCAGGTGTATAGCAAAGTGATTTGGTTGTACACATGTATGTGTGTGTGTGCGCATGAGCATACACGCTCTGTGCTTAGTCGCTCCGTCGTGTCTGACTCTGTGCGACCCCACGGACTGCAGCCCGCCAGGCACCTCTGTCCATGGGCATTCCCCAGGCAAGAGTACTGGAGTGGGTTGCATGCTTTCCTCCAGGGGATCTTCCTGACCCAGGAATCAAAGCCAGGTCTCCCTCATTGCAGGCAGACTCTTTACTGACTAAGCCTCCAGGGAAGCCCACATGTGTATATATACACTCACACACACACACGTGTGTGTGTATATAAATTCTTTTTCACATTCTTTTTACTTATAGGTTATTACCAATATTGGGTATAGTTCGCAGTAGATCCTTGTTGATCATCTGTTTTGTGTGAGTAGTGTGTGTCTGTTAATCCCAAACTGCTACTTTATCCCTACCCCCCAATTTTCCTTTTGGTAACTATAAGTTTGTTTTCTATGTCTGTACGTGTATTCCTGCTTTGTCAAGAGTTCATTGGCATCATTTTTTAGACTCCACATATAGGTGATGTTGGGCTTCCCTGATAGCTCAGTTGGTAAGGAATCCGCCTGCAATGCAGGAGACCCCGATTGGATTCCTGGGTTGGAAAGATCCCCTGGAGAAGGGAAAGGCAACCCACTCCAGTGTTCTGGCCTGGAGAATTCCAGGCACTGTATAGTCCATCGGGTCACCAAGAGTCGGACATGACTGAGTGACTTTAACTTCACATAGGTGATGTCATGATATTTGTCTTTCTCAGGCTGACTTCACTTAGCATGATAGTCTTTAAGTCCATCCATGTTGCTGCAAATGGCAATATTTTGTTATTTTTTATGGCTGAGTAACATTCCACTGTGTGTGTGTGTATGTATGTATGTATGTGTGTGTGTGTGTGTATGTATATTTGTATAAAATATATACACCACATTTTCTTTATCCATTCACAGTCAGCTGTAGGTTTAACCTTGACTCTACCAGCCGCTAGTGGGCAGCCTTTGACAGTTTGCCACAACTCTCTGCACCTTCACCTGTTCAGTGAGCAGACTCACTTTTGCAGGATTGTTTGGAAGGTTAAGTGAAACTGTGTCTGGTAGATAGAATTAATGGTACGTGCTCATGTAGGCCCCTCTGTTGGCCCTTATTTCTTATTACCCATTTCTTTTGGAGGAGGGCATGGCAACCCACTCCAGTATTCTTGCCTGGAGAATCCCATGGACAGAGGAGCCTGGCGGGCTACAGTCCACGGGGTTGCAAAGAGTTGGAAATGACTGAGCACAGCACCCATTTCTTTATATCTGCACGTAGGTGGGGTGGAGGTCTGATTTCCTCAGCAGGACACCCTATTAAGTCTCCAGTGTAAGACTTCTCTGTGGATATGCCACTGTTCTTTATTCCTCTGGCGAAAACAGCAGAGAACGTGCTCCTTTCTGAACAAAATCTCCCATTTCTGTGTGTTCCTTTTTCAAGAGCTTCCATGGTGGCTGAATTCAGCTGTGTGGTCTGACCTCCAGCCTGGGGCTCCGATGGGAACTGGGTGATCTTCCGGTCAGATTAAGCTGCTTTCTGCCGGGGGCAAGAGTAATGGCCTGACTCCTTATCTATTTGGTGATTTATAGATGTTTTTAAAGAGAAGTCTTGATTGCCCTTGTTATCACATAGGCTTAATCAGAATGTTTTCAAGAAAGATGCCTTTCAGGATTGCGAGAATGCTGAGTTGTTTAATGAGAGTCTCTTCTTTCCAAAGAAAAGGTTTTTTTCATAGTTGGAAGTAACTAATAATCTAAGGCCTTAATGATACACTTAGGCAAACAAAATAGGATTAAATGATGGCTTGTGCTAAATCAGATCCCAGTTGTACTGCATCCAAATTAGGAGATTATCCATTTGGATGATTTTAACTATGAAACCTGGATAGCAAAACTCGAAATGGGGCTTCAGCACTAAGGAAAAGCTGTTGTCTCAGTTAGCTAGTACTCTTAAGGTCAACGCTAAGGGTGGTAAATCCAGTGACTAAGGAAAGTCATCATGATCCATATGGGCACCTACCACTCAACTGAAGAACTAACCAGAATCCTAGAAGCCCTCAGTTTGTACCCACAATTCCATGACTTTTCACCCCCTCCACAAAGTAACCTGATGTTGCGGTTTATCATTCCTTTTTTTTTTTTTTTTAATAAAAAAATAGATTTTATTCTTAGAGCCATTTTAGGGTTAGAGCAAAACTGAGAGCTCAGTGCAGGGATTTCCCACCTGCCCCCTGACCCCAACGTGCACAGCCTCCGGCAGTATCAGTGTTCCCACCAGAGTACACGTTACCGGTGATGAGCAGATGGCGACACGCCGTCACCCAGAGTCCCTCTGCATGTTAGAACTGACTCGGCGTTACACAGTGCGCGGGCTGCGCCGGATGTGTGATGAACTGTGTCGGCCGCTGTGATGCGTGCAGAGTGGTTTCACAGCCACAAACAATCCCCGGTGCTCCGTTCATCGCTCCCTCCCCTTTCATCTCCGGCAGCCCCTCATCTTTTTACAATGTTGTGTAGTTGGAATCATAGAGTGTGTAGCTTTTCAGGTTGACATCTCTCACTTAGTAATATGCAGCTCAGGGCTCCTCCGTGTCTTTTTATGGTTTGATAGCTCATTTAATTTTAGTGCTGAATAATATTACATTATCTGGATGTACCAGCGTTTATCTGTTTGCCTACTGAAGTATGTCTCGATTGATTCTAAGCTTCGCAGTTATGAATAAATTTGCTACAAACATCCATGTGCAGGTTTTTATGTGGCCATAATTTTTCAAGTCCTGTGAGTAAATACCAATAAATAACCACAATGGCTTGCTTTTATGGTAAAAATATGTTTATTTTTGTAAGAAACTGACAAACTGCTTTTTTTCCAAACTAGCTTTTTTTTTTTTCTTTTTTAGTTTTCCAAAGTGGTTGTATCATTTTATGTTCTTACCAACAATGCATGAGAGCCTGTTCCACATACTTGTCAGTATTTTGGATTGTGGCCATTCTAATAGCTGTGTAGCAGTATCTCATTGTTGCTTTAATTTGCAATTCTCTAGTAACATATGATGTAGAACATCTTCTCGTATGGTTATTTGCTATCTGCATATCTTCTTTGGTGAGCTATCTGTTCAGGTCTTTGCCCATTTTTAAATTGGAGTCTTCCTTTTTTAATTGTTGAGTTTTAATGGTTCTTTGTACATTTTAGAAGCCAATCCTTTACCAGATGCCTCTTTTCAAATATTTTCTCCCAGTCTGTGGCTTATCTTCTCATTTTCTTGACAGTGGCTATAACAGAGCAAATGTTTTAATTTTTATACAGTCTAGCTTATCAGTTATTTTCATCATGGATCTTGCATTTGGTGTTATATCTTAAAAAGTCACCACCAAGTCTGAGGTCACCTAGGCTTTCTCCTGTGTTATCATCTAAGAGTTTTATAGTTGTGTGTTTTATGTTTAGGTCTATGAGCTATTTCAAGTTAATTTTTGTGAAGAGTGTAAGAAATTAGACATGAATTTCTTCCAGCACCATTTGTTAAAAACACTATCTTTGCCCCATTATATTGTCTTTGCTCCTTTGTCAAAGATTGATTGATTGTATTTACATTGATGAGTCTATTTCTGGGCTCTCTGTTCGGTTCCATTGATCTTTTTGTTTATTCTTTCACCAATATCACACTGTCTTGATTAATGTAGCTTTAAAGTAAGTCTTGAAAGTAAAGTAAGTCTTGAAAGTAAATCAGATAGGTGCAGGCCTTCACCTCTCATCTTTTCTTCCAATGCAGGTAGATTATTCTGGGTCTTTTGCCTCTGCATATAAACTTTAGAATCATTTTGTTGATATCCAGAAAATAACTTGCTAGGATTTTTATTAGGATTGCATTGAATCTATTGATGGAGTATGGAAGAATTAATATCTTGATATCTTGAGCTTTTCTATACATGAGCTGGCTGTCTATTTATTTAGGTTTTTTATGATTTCTTTATCAGACTTTTATAGTTTTCCTCATATATAACTTGCATATATTTTCTCATATTCATACCTAAATATATTTTGGTATTAATATAAATACTGCTGTACTTTTTATTTCAAATTCTGTTTGTTTATTGTCGGTAAATAGGGAAGTGATTGACTTTAATAACCTTGTCTTCTGCAACCTTGCTACAATCTTTTATTCCAGGAGATATTTTTGTTGTTATGATTGTTTCTTTGGGATTTTCTACTTTGACAATCAACATCATCTTTAAGCAAAAGTAATTTCTTCCTTTTGAAAATATCTAGGACTTCCAGTATTATATGGAAAAGGAATGGTGAGAAGGGGCAGCCTTGCCTTCTTCCTGATTTTCACCATCAAGTATGATGTTTTTAATTCAGTTTCAAACTAGAAAGCTTCTATTTTCTTGCCATTAAGTATTATATTAGCTGTAGGTTTTTTGTAGATGCTTTTTTACTAAGTTGAGGAAGTTCCTTTCTATTCCTAGTTTGCTGAGAGGTTTTTTTTTTTTAATC